TTTTTTTTTTTTTTTTTTTTTTTTTAACAATGTTACATCCACCAACATATTTGTTGTGGATGACTAGTCTTTTTGCAATAAGGACATGGTGAAAAATTGAGTGTTAATATTTTGGTCATTCTCTTGGAACAACTCCTTGTAATTTTTACCACCATTGTTGTTCTTCCATTTGGCTAATTATACACCTTTTAGAGTTCTTTCTTGTCTCATAAATCTCCTTCGTTCAGATGCTTTCAATGCATGTAACATTTCTACCAAAGTGATCTTACTCAAATTCTTTGTATTCTCCAAGACTGTTATTGAAACTTCATATCTTTCAAATACAATTACTATAATTTTTTCAACAATTTTAGAATCAAAAAATTGTGCTCTTAGTAAGCATACCTTATTAACAATGACAAGTAAGTTGTTGAGCATTGTTTGGTTGTCTTAGCAATGACAAGCGTACCTTTATTCTTTGTAACTTAAATTCTCCCATTAAATTCAATACTTGCATGGTTTGAATTCTTTCATCTCCAACATATTTTTCCTTTAGATAATTTCAAACTGTTTTTGTCAATTTGAGAGTCATGTTACTGTTGAAAACATTTTGTGAAACATAGGAAAAGAGACAACTATTTGTCTTTGCCTTCTTGATTTTCCTTTCTTTGTGAATTTTCATTTGAGTTACGATAGAATTGTCTAGCAATGCAGAAACACCACAATCTTCTTATACAACTTATAACACTATTGAATTTGGTAATAATGGGTGATTTAATACCTATTTAGAATAGTGAATTAGAAGTCAATCCTATAAAATGAACCTGTGATAGTTATTATTCACTTATATACTATTTAATTATCTTATCTCTAATCAATGTGAGACTTAAGTTTTTTCTAATAAATAATTGTTGCTAATAGTAAACTTTAGTGTAATATAAATACATTTTTAGTAGTTATTATATATTAGCCATTAATATTTTTATATATGGCAGCAATTAAATTATTATCATTAAATAATTGTCGTTAATAACAAAATTTGTTGTAGAGTAGAAAAGATTCATAGCAATTAAACGCACATACAAAATTGTTCACACTTAGTGAAATATAGTGTATTCACACGTGTGGTGAATTAGTGAAAAACATATATATATATAT